GCTAGCTCTTAGTAACGCTAAAAAATTCAATTTATTTGAAAGAAAATTTGAAGGGTTCAAATTGATATTTCATATATTAGATATATTAAATACAAAGAGAAAATAAATTTAATTTGAAATGTTAAATTAATATTTAATATATTAGATATATTAAATAAACAGAAAAAAAATATTTAATTTGAAGTGTTGAAATTAATATTTAATATATTAGATATATGTTAAATATGAATGAAGAAAAAATATATTAATTTGAAGGGTTCAAATTAATATTTAATATATTAGATATATTAAAAAGAAAAAATATATTTATGGTATTTGATACTATTAAATATTAAATCAATTAATGTATTTTGATACATTAAATAAAAATATATTTTGAATGGGATTCAAATTAATTAAATATATATTAGGGTGTTTTATGATATCTAAATATAATTTGTATAAGGTATTATATCCTAATATATTAAATATGCAAATATATTATTTGGCAAAAATTCTACAAGAGTCCCTATAAATAGGACCCTTGGGTTGAGCAGATACATACCAATCTCTCCCACTTTTTTCCGAGAATGAAATTACAACTCTAGAGAATTCTCAAAACTATTCTTCTTCAATCCTTTAGGAATTTTCTTTCAAGAGGCTCCCACAAGTTTTGACCTTGTGTTCGAGTCATAGCAAGGAAGATCTCGTGGAATGTTGAATAGCTTTTGCATGGTTGGAAAACTTCAATGACTTGCAAGCTAGGGTTTCTACAAAGGTAGAGTTCTTACTCTCGAGTTTATTTTTTGTTTTTGTTTTAATTCATAATAAAAATCAAAACGATTCCCAATGCTTCTGCTACGTGGATGAAGAGTTCATTCCCTTCACTTAAAGACATAATAACAAATATCTTATGAAACTAGTTCGTTAAGAATTTTGTTGATCTCGTTAGATACAAATTATCATGCACAACAAAAAAAGATGGGGCTTGGTATAGCCACAGTCCAGTTCCCAGGGTTAGAGTATTTCCTATTATTAGCCTACTCAAATTAGAACTCAACTAGTAGATTCTCTTTCGCTTATCGACCGGTCGACTTTCATTGATGCAGCCTTCGCATTTCCTGCTGATATCCCAAGTCTCCAAGTGGGTCCTCTTGGCCACCCGCGACCTTGGTGATGGTGTTAATTATAACACGTGGAAAAGCAATTTGAATCTTAGGCACTCTAAGTACATCAATTATAGTAAATTAACTAGTATGTTCATAAGTATTAAAACTCAAGGAGTTTGAGTACTAACATTTTGTAGCTCAAATTTCTTTTTCATCACGAACCGGTTTCGAACCACCACTAGTGTCTTCCTTACTATTCTCCGGCCTTAGAACGGGATTGTGGAATCTAGTGAGTGACTAAACTTAGAAGGGATTTAGTATATGTGAAGAGAGAATTTGTGAGGGACTTTCTCAAGGTTTTTTCAAGAAGAATTTCCATGTATTTTGATCACTCTATTTATAGTCATATTTTCATGTTCATACAAATTTGAGATTACCAAATTTTGACACTCAAACTTTTACTCAAATTTGTGGGGTTTATTTGGCAAACATGCATGTTTGGTTAAACCAAATTTTGACACTCAAAATTCCACTCAAATTTGTGGGCTTATGTGGCAAACATGCAAGTTTGGTTAAACCATATATTTATTCCACTAACTCAAACATCGATTTTTCCATTAGGTGAAGTCAATATTTTGAATTTCTTCATTTTAATTCAACAATTAATTTAAATAATTAATTTCAAATCAAAATAAAATTAAATGATCAATTAAACAATTTAATTAATAATTAACATTAAATAAAATGTCAATCCCAATCAATTCCGGCACATATTGATTATAAATCACTATTCATAATTAAAATATTTAAATCTTATTTAAATATCTCCGATTCTCTCTTCTTGTTCAATTCATAATTAAAACAGAATGGGGTTAAATATATCGTATATATTTAGCGTGTATTTCCTAATTTGAATTCGAACACTTTGAACACACTCGTCAAACTGTTCTTAGGTTTAGTCTGATATGAGCTAGCAGAGGAACCTAATGGACTAAGATCATGGGCTCCAAGGATTCCAGATTAACCGGCTAAACTCATTAACCTTGTTAACCAACATTCATTAACTACTAGGACACTCCATTATAGCCTAGTAGTTGCACTCCCCTCACTATAGATATATTTCTATCCATTTGATATAACCATGATTAGTAAGTCGATCCTTCACAGGTTGTTTGTAACTAGAGCTGGGTCAATTTACCGTTTTACCCCTAAAGTTATTTTTGTTCCTTAAGTCCCACTGATCCTCTAGTGAACAATTGGTTTGTGGTCCAACCACCAAACCAAATTCCTCTTAGGCCAATGAGAGGGTGGGGCTCCTTGTTCAAGACCTAAAGTCAGTACTCAAGGAAACAACCTCTCTATTATCCCTAAAAGCGGGTATGAGCAAATTCCATCTTATACCCTGTGTCCCCAGCTATTCACCCAGTCTTATCCTTCAAATGGGAGGCTTATTCAGTCAGCGAACTCGGGTCACTCTCACCCATGCAAATCTAAGGATACTTCTAAATAAACAGGAGTTCATAGTTAGATCAGGATTAAGGTCGAGTTACCTAGGTTATCGAGTGAAAAAATCAGTCTCAATAGTAAACGACATTATAAAGTGAGAGTGGTTTTCTTCATGGTCCGATCTTATGCAATTCTCATTGCATAGGACGCCCCAACTCACATGTCTCCACATGTACAATTTAGTGATCACATTGTTTATATCATATACAAAAGTGGACTGCATCCATAGTGTCCCCAGGATAAGGTACTCAGCCTTATCCCTGTAATATAAGATCATTTTGACTATATACTTGAACTTGATCCACTCTTATGTCTCTACATATAGTTCAAGTAATCATACTATAGCCAGGGTGTTCTTAGTTTATTGGATTTATATTAATGATCGTAAAATTCACTTTATTCAATAACGATCTTTACTGAATAAACATCATTAATAACTTTATTGAAAATAGAATATGTTTTTGTTTACAAACTATGAGTGTTAGGACATAAAACCCAACACTTGGCTTTTTAGAGAATCTTGCTCCTGTGTCGTGGGACATGTAACTCGGCAGTCCACCGGGTGAGTTTTTTATCCTTCCAGTTTCACATGTCTTCTTGGATAGTTATAGCGGCCCATAGGCGCAAGATGTACCTTGTGTGTGGAGGGTGGCGGTCCCCTGGACATAGTCCTTTAAGCCTGTGGCCATTTAGTCTATGGTCCATTAGATGGTCGGTGCAAGACCAAAAATTTGAACACATTGATTCCGCTCGTTCTCGTTTGCACTCATTTACACAAATGAATCTCTCATCCTCACCTCTCAAATTTTCTAGTAGAGCCCAGATTTGATTTTTTTATTTTGGGTCGATTAAAAACTAAAAAGATAAAAACAAATTGAAAAAAAAAAAGCAAAGGAAACATATATCCGATCTTGAGCCTTAAGCTCTGATACCAAATGATATGATAAGGAATCACTACAAGGGAAGTAAGATTCGGATTACCTTGTTGATCGAATATCTCAAGGCAAGAACATTGTTTGAGATTCGAATCACTCCACAAGCCAGATAGATCATGTCTAGCTTGAATGATTCTTGTTGACCAAATATCTCAAGGTAAGAACACTTGCTTGAGATTCGAATCACTCCACAAGCAAGATTGATCATTTCGAGCTTGAATGATTCTACATGCAACCTAAACTACATAGAATTACAAAGAAACTTAGTCATTGGCCAAAGAAGAGCACAAATGTTTTTTTTACTATATTTTCCAAGTCTCTTACAAATACAATATACATGGCTTTATATAGCCTCAAAATGAAACTATTAAAGGCATTCCAAGAGTTGTAACATGCTAAAAAAGTCTTAAAATACATTAATGAAATACAATAACTCTAAATTACTCTAAATTGCAATCCATACAAAATTTATAACATGAAACTTCATTCTTCTTCGATGTGGCATGAATTGAAATATCCTTTGATAATTTCAACAGTATTTTCTTCACATCTTCATTGAAGCATATTGTATGATTTGTGTCTCTTGGTTCATATCATTAACTATATCAACAAATGCGTACAAGATGTCTTACACAACTCGGCTTCGTCAATTTATAGTAAATTTCTACCAGAAACGTTATTGAACCTAGCTACCTCTTGTTCCTACTCCGATTACTCAAACCTAAAAATTAGACTTCCCAACTGCAAGCAACTTCTGCTATCAAAGAAGACCTCTCAAAACCAATCATAGTTGAAAGGAATCTTAAATATTTCAATAATACCCTAACTTATTCTTAATTAAAAACTTAAAAAAACACCTTCAAATTAAAATGCCGCTTTTGAAATGTATGCATATTTTCTAAACAAAATACTAACAATAATGGAAATTTTCAAAGTTAAAAGGGTATGTTTTAAAAAGGTTTCAATTCAAAACTAACCAAATAGGAGATAGAATGTAGAGGGGATTTTTATTAATCTTTTAAATATTTGATATATTTGAATTTGGACGGAGAAATATAATAGTTTTTGAAAGTTATAAAAAAACAGGTACAATAAATGTGAGTTATTTAAGAGGAAGGAGTAAAAGAAAGAGGGAGAATTGTGAGTAAGTTGAAGTTGAGAAAATTAAATAAGATGTTGAATTGTTGACGTAGTAACATAAAATTCATTGCACTACAAAAAGTGCGTGTGCGTGCGTGTGCGTGCGTGTGTGGTACAAACAGTTGGTCATTAGTGACATTTTAAGTTGGGTAAATGGTGAAAGAGCTGGAGGCAACGCCGGACGGAGAGAAACCCACGAAGACCTCCCTCGCACCTCCCACTTAACACATGTCCAATCTCCGCTCGAAATGGACGTTACATTGGCATCAGCAATGACGTATTCATGCGTTTCTTCGCTCCATAAATACTCTTCACATCATCCTCTCTCCTTCTCCTTCTCCTTCTCCTTCTTCTTCCCTTTGCTTTAAAACTGCGCCATGAATGACACAGTCTGGAATGCTTTGCCAACCATTTTCATGGTCATGGTTCAGCTCGGACTCGCTGTAGGTAACGTGCTCTATAAGTTAACTGTTGCGGATGGAATGAACTTGCGGATTATTATTGCTTATCGTTTCTTGTTTGCCTCTGCCTTCATGCTTCCCCTCGCCTTCTTCTTAGATAGGTTGTTACTTATTATTTTACCCTAAACCCTAATCTCTATGCAACCTTCATTATTAACAAAACTAAAATTTACTTGCAGAGGAAAAAGGTCGAAGCTCACTTGGTCCGTGCTTTTCTATGCTTTTCTCTCCGCTTTCTTTGGGTAAGCTCACTTGTGACGTGTAGTTTACCATAGATATCATATTTTCTTTTAATTATATGTAAATATCTTGTATATATTAGATGTAGTCCCACGTCGGCTAATTTAGGGAATAATCATAAGTTTATAATCAAGGAATACTATTTTCATTATGAGACTTTTTGGGGAAGTCTAAAGTAAAACTAGGAGAGTTTATGCTCAAAATAGACAATATCATACCATTTGTAGAGGTTACTCATTCCTAATAGTATTTAGGTTTTAGCAACTATTTCTTTTGTTTAGGTTTGAAATAATAATAATAAAGAAAAGTATGTGCGTTGAATGCATGCATGCAGGGGGTCGTTGGCGCAAAACTTATACCTGGAGAGCATGAGTTTAACATCTGTGACATTCGCTGCAGCCATCGGCAACCTTGGCCCAGCCGTCACCTTCATTTTGGCACTCTCCTTCAGGTTGGAGAAGTTGAACATAACAACAACCGGAGGGAAGGCTAAAGTGGTGGGGACATTATTAGGAATAGGTGGGGCCATGATCCTTACATTCTATAAAGGCGTGGAACTTAATCTTTGGTCAACCCACGTTGACCTTTTGCATAACTCAGGTGGACACGTGGCAGACACAGAACACGACATCCGTAGTCAGCTGCTGGGAAGTGTGCTCGGTTTTGCTGGCTGCGTGTCGTATGGGTTATGGCTCATCGTTCAGGTCAGCTGAATTTGTAATAGCAAAACAAAAGGGGTTTGGTTTGGTTTGGTTTGGTGATAATTAATTGAATTGATATAATAATAATAATAATAGGCGAAAATGAGTGAATCCTATCCATGCCACTACTCAAGTACAGCGTTGATGTGTTTGATGGCATCCATTCAGGCAGTTGCTTTTGCTTTGTGCTTGGAAAGGCGATGGAGTGAGTGGAAGTTGGGATGGAATATCCGACTTCTCGGCGTCTCATATACCGTAATTTATTTTATTGTTTTTTTTTCGATTATGATGCTTAAATATTTAATTTTGTTAAAGATATTTAACCTTAAATTATAGCAGGGGATTGTAGCTTCTGGAGTGATAGTAGCGCTAATCTCATGGTGCGTACGAATGAGAGGCCCAATGTTTGTATCAGTTTTCAGTCCTCTTATTCTGCTCCTTCTTGCCATAGCCGGATCCTTGTTTTTGGAAGAAAAACTCCACTTGGGATGGTAAGGGAAAGTGGGTTTTTAAATATAATGATTGGGTTTGGTTTTAGAAGTGAAATTGTGTGTTTTTGATGATAACAGTGTGATTGGAGGAGTGCTGATCATATGTGGATTATACGTAGTGTTGTGGGGTAAAAGCAAAGAGATGAAGAAGAGTACGCAATTAGCTCCCATGGGAAGCATTGAGCACCAACCTGTGGTCATAGACCTGCCCATTTCATCTCCAACAACTATTCCTAAAACTGAAACCGATACTCCTCGGGGTTCCAACAGCAGCAATCGCAACGTCAATTAGGGAGCATCGTTCTTACATACAAGTTAGAACATATTGAGACAAGATCAAAACAAAAAGGTATTAAACTGTTAGGAATTAGGATAGGAATAGGTAGCAAAATATTAAGGTCTTAGTATTTAATGTAGTTGTAAGAATAGCAAAACAAAGAATATTTAATGCTCTCCATATTTCAAAGCTAATAACTTTTCATGTTCTCCAACGTTGCCTGTCAGACTTTGATGGGGAATTTCATTTCTCTCCGTCTTTCACTTTTTTAACGGATGTAAATCTTTTGGAAATGAGTTTCTTGGGCTGAGTGAAACATTTCTACTGGTTTCCCATTTATTTTTGTATTTTTTTATTATTGCTTTTGTGGATGAGCACTTATATCCTACGTAAAAATCCATCACTTGATATTACAAGATACTAGTTAGGACACTACTACACTTTTTTTTATTGGATAAAAATACACTTTTCTTTTATTGGATAAAAATACACTTTTCTTTTATTGGATAAAAATTTGATGGAAATGGAGGAGTATTGTCACATTCGAATTTTCCGACTCAAGTTGCAACTAAGTAAAGTACTTGAAAACATAAAAGTCGAATAAACTAGTACGATAAAAATTTTCGTATTTAAAATAAAACATAACCCTATTTCACAACCCGATTTCAAGGCTTCTAAACACATATGGTGACTAAAAGGACATATACCAAGAGAAAATAAAAGAAAAGGTAAAATAAAATAAAAGATGAAAATTGAACAAATTTAAATCGAAATAAAGACAACAAGGCAACACCACAAAATACAAAATAAAATTCAATTATAAAAATACTCATTAACCTTCTTGTAAGCTCTTATCGTGTCCTAAACCTAGTAGGTATCCATAGGTTTTATTTTGGGCTTTAGGAATTTCAAACCTAGTCTCTTCTGCTACTTAAACATCTAGGGTACCTTGAAGTTCCAATCGATACTTTAGCTGCTCACAAACCTACAATAGGTGTGGAGGAGATAGTTCACCCTTTTCTGGTGTTGTGGATCGACCAAACGAAAAGTCCCATCTATCGGTTGAACTACTCTTCTATTCTTTTACTTACGGTAACTTACTTTGCCTATGAAGTATGAAACTAGTGTCCTGGGTCGAATTGTTATGATAAGAAAAGGAACCACTACAAGGGGAGTAAGATTTGGATTACCTTGTTGATCGAATATCTCAAGGCAAGAACATTGTTTGAGATTCGAATCACTCCACAAGCAAGATCGATCATGTCTAGCTTGAATGATTCTTGTTGATCAAATATCTCAAGGCAAGAACATTGTTTGAGATTCGAATCACTCCACAAGCAAGATCGATCATGTCTAGCTTGAATGATTCTTGTTGATCAAATATCTCAAGGTAAGAACACTTGCTTGAAATTCGAATCACTCCACAAGCAAGATTGATCATGTCGAGCTTGAATGATTCTACATGCAACCTAAACTACATAGAATTGCAAAGAAACTTAGCCATTGGCTAAAGAAGAGCACAAATGCTTCTTTTTACTATATTTTTCAAGTCTCTTACACATACAACATACATGGCTTTATATAGCCTCAAAATGAAACTACTAAAGTCATTCCAAGAGTTGTAACATTCATACTTAATGGCCATAATTAACCATTATGTAATTGTAACCTATAGTAAATAAAGTCTTAAAATACATAAATGAAATACAATAACTCTAAATTGTAACCCACCCAAAATTTATAACAATCAAACTTCATTCTTCTTCAATGTGGCATGAATTGAAACATCTTTTGATAATTTTGACAACCTTTTCTTCACATCTTCATTGAAGTATATTGTATGATTGATGTCTTTTGGTTCATATCATTCTCCACTTCTTCAAGATGATTCGTCCTCGAATCTATTTGTGAAACTTTGCTGCAAAAAATAAGTTATGGAAATACAAAGGACCTCACAACACTCTCTCACGTGTATACACTCAAGGAATTTTAGGCCACTCTTTTTAAACTCAGTTACACAAATGAAGCTCTCATTCTCACCTCTCAAAATTTGAAATAGAGCAAAGATTGAATTTTGAATTCTGGGTCGATTAAAAACTAAAAGGATAAAAATAAATAAAAATCAAATTGAAAAAAAAAAATGCAAAGGAAACATATATCCGATCTTGAGCCTGAAGCTCTGATACCAAATGATAAGATAAGGAACCACTACAAGGGGAGTAAGATTTGGATTACCTTGTTGATCGAATATCTCAAGGCAAGAACATTGTTTGAGATTCGAATCACTCCACAAGCAAGATCGATCATGTCTAGCTTGAATGATTCTTGTTGATCAAATATCTCAAGGTAAGAACACTTGCTTGAAATTCGAATCACTCCACAAGCAAGATTGATCATGTCGAGCTTGAATGATTCTACATGCAACCTAAACTACATAGAATTGCAAAGAAACTTAGCCATTGGCTAAAGAAGAGCACAAATGCTTCTTTTTACTATATTTTCCACGTCTACTTACAAATACAACGTACATGGCTTTTATATAGCCTAAAAAATAAAACTATTAAAGACATTCCAAGAGTTCTAACCTTCAGACTTTATGGCCACAATTAGCCATTATGTAAATGTAATCTAAAGTAAATAAAATGTCTTAAAATACAATAACTCTAAATTACTTTAAATGGTAACCCACCCAAAATTTATAACAATCAAGCTTCATTCTTCTTCAATGTGGCATGAATTGAAACATCTTTTGATAATTTTCACAACTTTTTCTTCACATCTTCATTGAAGTATATTGTATGATTGATGTCTTTTGGTTTATATCATTCTCCACTTCTTCAAGATGATTCGTCCTCGAATCTATTTGTGAAACTTTGCTGCAAAAAATAAGTTATGGAAATACAAAGGACCTCACAACACTCTCTCACGTGTATACACTCAAGGAATTTTAGGCCACTCTGTTTGCACTCATTTACACAAATGAATCTCTCATCCTCACCTCTCAAATTTTCTAGTAGAGCCCAGATTTGATTTTTTTATTTTGGGTCGATTAAAAACTAAAAAGATAAAAACAAATTGAAGAGAAATGCAAAGGAAACATATGTCCGATCTTGAGCCTTAAGCTCTGATACCAAATGATAAAAAAAGGAACCACTACAAGGGAAGTAAGATTCGGATTACCTTGTTGATCGAATATCTCAAGGCAAGAACATTGTTTGAGATTCGAATCACTCCACAAGCAAGATAGATAAGGTCTAGCTTGTATGATTCTTGTTCATCAAATATCTCAAGGCAAGAACACTTGCTTGAGATTCGAATCACTCCACAAGCAAGATTGATCATGTCGAGCTTGAATGATTCTACATGCAACCTAAACTACATAGAATTGCAAAGAAACTTAGCCATTGGCTAAAGAAGAGCACAAATGCTTCTTTTTCTATATTTTCCAAGTCTCTTACAAATACAATATACATGGCTTTATATAGCCTAAAAAATGAAACTATTAAAGGCACTCCAAGAGTTGTAACCTTCATACTTTATGGCCATAATTAGCCATTATGTAAATGTAACCTAAAGTAAATAAAATGTCTTAAAATACAATAACTCTAAATTGTAACCCACCCAAAATTTATAACAATCAAACTTCATTCTTCTTCAATGTGGCATGAATTGAAACATCTTTTGATAATTTTCACAACCTTTTCTTCACATCTTCATTGAAGTATATTGTATGATTGATGTCTTTTGGTTCATATCATTCTCCACTTCTTCAAGAGGATTCGTCCTCGAATCTATTTGTGAAACTTTGCTGCAAAAAATAAGTTATGGAAATACAAAGGACCTCACAACACTCTCTCACGTGTATACACTCAAGGAATTTTAGGCCACTCTGTTTGCACTCATTTACACAAATGAATCTCTCATCCTCACCTCTCAAATTTTCTAGTAGAGCCCAGATTTGATTTTTTTATTTTGGGTCGATTAAAAACTAAAAAGATAAAAACAAATTGAAGAGAAATGCAAAGGAAACATATATCCGATCTTGAGCCTTAAGCTCTGATACCAAATGATAAGATATGGAACCACTTCAAGGGGAGTAAGATTCGGATTACCTTGTTGATCGAATATCTCAAGGCAAGAACATTGTTTGAGATTCGAATCACTCCACAAGCAAGATAGATAAGGTCTAGCTTGTATGATTCTTGTTCATCAAATATCTCAAGGCAAGAACACTTGCTTGAGATTCGAATCACTCCACAAGCAAGATTGATCATGTCGAGCTTGAATGATTCTACATGCAACCTAAACTACATAGAATTGCAAAGAAACTTAGCCATTGGCTAAAGAAGAGCACGAATGCTTCTTTGTACTATATTTTCCAAGTCTACTTACAAATACAACATACATGGCTTTATATAGCCTCAAAAATGAAACTATTAAAGACATTCCAAGAGTTGTAACCTTCATACTTTATGACCACAATTAGCCATTATGTAAATGTAATCTAAAGTAAATAAAATGTCTTAAAATACAATAACTCTAAATTACTTTAAATTGTAACCCACCCAAAATTTATAACAATCAAGCTTCATTCTTCTTCAATGTGGCATGAATTGAAACATCTTTTGATAATTTTCACAATCTTTTCTTCACATCTTCATTGAAGTATATTGTATGATTGATGTCTTTTGGTTCATATCATCCTCCACTTCTTCAAGAGAATTCGTCCTCGAATCTATTTGTGAAACTTTGCTGCAAAAAATAAGTTATGGAAATACAAAGGACCTCACAACACTCTCTCACGTGTATACACTCAAGGAATTTTAGGCCACTCTGTTTGCACTCATTTACACAAATGAATCTCTCATCCTCACCTCTCAAATTTTCTAGTAGAGCCCAGATTTGATTTTTTATTTTGGGTCGATTAAAAACTAAAAAGATAAAAACAAATTGAAGAGAAATGCAAAGGAAACATATATCCGATCTTGAGCCTTAAGCTCTGATACCAAATGATAAGAAAAGGAACCACTACAAGGGGAGTAAGATTCGGATTACCTTGTTGATCGAATATCTCAAGGCAAGAACATTGTTTGAGATTCGAATCACTCCACAAGCAAGATCGATCATGTCTAGCTTGAATGATTCTTGTTGATCAAATATCTCAAGGCAAGAACACTTGCTTGAGATTCGAATCACTCCACAAGCAAGATTGATCATGTCGAGCTTGAATGATTCTACATGCAACCTAAACTACATAGAATTGCAAAGAAACTTAGCCATTGGCTAAAGAAGAGCACA